CAGCAGTCACAGTCTGGTTCCCTAATAAGGACTCTGATAAGGAAGCTGGAATCCCTTTTAACTTCTGATCCGTTCAGAGATAAGATGGTTTAGACATAAACAAGCGTTTCTGTCACCGGCAGCTCTCAGAAATGCAGCTGTGAGACCTGGCGTTAGCCCGGAGTGAGGTCCCGATGCTGCTCCTGGGGGAGATACTCAGACAGCTGCATCCCCATCTGGAGGGAGAAGAGGATGACTTACTCTTCCTCCCTGGTAAAGGTCTTCTGCACAACTCTGTAGGCTTTTCTGGGGGAAGGAGAGGGGAGAAGATATAAAAATAAGGAATGATGTCTTTCAGCCGTTACCGGGTTTTGAGGTGAAGTGAAGTCACCTTCCTGGGCTGGTTTTCTCCACGGGGCCCTTTGAGATCATTTTTTACTCAAATCGGGAGAAACTAGAGCAGAACTGTGCTGAGAAAAGCATTTCTCTCAGGCCTCAGCACTGCTTGGAGGTAAGAGGAGGGTGAGGGCAGCTGGTCCGACCTGCAGCCCGGCTCTTCTCCCTGCCTGGCATCCCCCAGCGTGGGCACAGGGCTGGTGTCAGGACACCAGCAATGGGACACAACCCAGAACACAATGCAGGGCTGCTCACTCCCAGGAGCAAATACAGCCCAGTCCCTAACACCAGGAGAGATGGGACAGCAGAAGCTGGCACTGTTTGATTTAACCTTTCTCTGGCTTATTGCATCTTCCCTTCAAGAGACTGGCTTTTTGGGTAGAGTTCCTGGCTTCTTGGTACTCAGACCAGGTTGTCTCAGGCTCGAGATGGCTTCCATTTACATGGGTTTGAACCTCTCCAGTGTCACTGTCCCCTCTGACATCTCCTACAGCTCCTCATCTGACAGGATCAGCACTCTCTTCTCGATGTTTTTGCTCTTCCTGCCACTTGGTCCCTCTGCCCTGGAGGCCACGTGCCCGTTCTGCCCCGGCACTTTGCGCTCTGCCTCCTGCATCGACTGCTGGGTGTACTGCTGGTACGCGGGTGAGAAGTTGTGGATCGCATCCTGCACGATGTCCTGGGGGCTTATGGTCTCCTTCAGCCCGCTTGAGATGCTCTGCATTGGGGCAAGGTTTGCTGAAAGACAGGGAGAGTGGGAGGGTGATGGGACATCAGTCAGTCAATGAGCCCAAGCGCTCTAAGGTTGGAGTGACACTTTTCCTTAAAAATTCAAGATCAGGGCCTCATCGTGGGCCACATCAGCTTGCAGTGGCAAATGCCAAGGAGAAGAAAGGCAACCCCAGCTCCATGTTTAAAGAGGATGGAACCTCTCCAGCAGCATGTGCCGTAATACCATGATCCTCCAATTCTGCCCATCCACACCAAGGTCTCTTTTCCTATCCATTCACTGTGGCTCATGGTTATCCCAAGGGAAAAGGGAGAAGGAAACTCCTCTGGTGGCTTTTAGCATCCCATTGGTCATGCTATAAGGTGTGTGGGTGGGGGTCTTCCTCTTCCTTTATTGACCAATGGAGGAAGGAAGAAGAGAGGAAGAGTTACCTGTTGAGTTTTCTTTCTTTTCTCTGTACACCTGGCAGGTGAATGCGTAGCGCAGGGCAATGGAAGCAAAGAACATCTCAATGCAGATGATGAAGTTCTGGTAGCCAGCAGCCACCGTCCCAGCTCCCACCTCCTTCCCATCGATGATTTGAACTTCAGGGATCACCCCACATTTCTCCAGGATTGCAAGCAGCGTCCCTGTGCAGGGGAAGGGAGAGGGATCAGCTCTGGTCCTGTACTTCCCTGGTCAGGTGGGGCTACAGGAGGAGAAGCGCTGGGTGTCCATGGTGGGACCCACCTTGCCAGAAGGAGAGGAAGATGACTGCCTTAATGGTGATGAACTTGAGGACTGGCTCAAATGGGCGCAGCAGGTCCATAGTGGCAAAGTAGAAGAGGAAGAGGGCATACAGTGCCAGGCTGACGGAGAAGTTGTAGATGATGGTGATGTAGAGGTAGCCGCTATGGACGCTGCAGGGAGAGAGGGAGGGGGAGAAGTGCATGGCTTTGCCCTGGGGGACAGCACAGCGCAGGAGGGGAAGGAGAGGCAGGGAGAAGGGGGAGAGCAGGGGGCTACTCCCAGCTTTTCCTCTGTTGGTGGGATGTCTTTTATTGTGGCTCACAGGAGTTTCTTCCCTTTCTTATTTGGGGGCAGTGAGTCTCGGTTCCTGGTGCTTTGGGCTCCCTGTGCTCTCACTACCCATGGAGCAGCTCCCTGGTGGGGTTGGCAGGACCTTCTGTCCCTTGTGATGGAGCAGGGACCTGTCCTGTTCCCCTTCACCCCACCGCCCCAGCCCAACCCAGCATCCTCACTTGAAGTCCCCGTCGTGGTACTTCCCAAACGCCTGCAGGATGATGGTGACGATCGCCATGAGGGGTTTCACGATGCAGAACTGCAGCGTGGCCTGCACAGGGGAGAGACACGGTGCACCCCGGGCTGCAGGGACATCCCACCGCCCTCCCTGCTGCTCCTGCCACCCCCAGCCCCTCCACATGAGCCGACAGAACAGAGACACAGAGAAGAGAGCAGTTCTCTATCGCGGGAGTGACCAGCGCTGCGGGGTGAGACATGAACCAGCTCAAGGTCTGCAGACAGGAGGAAGCAGGGCTTCCAAAAGGCAGCTCCTGAAAGGCAGTGAGCCACTCCAAGGGTGGGGACTGGGTGGCCTGGGGACAGACCGGCGCGGTATTTGGCCTGCAGCACAGCCCTGGAGAGCTAGAGAGCAGTCCAGGCAAACCTGGGACTGGACAGAGATGGCAATCTCAGCTCTGCAGTGGGAGGAGACCCTGACTCAGCAGTGAGTCAGAGGCAAGGACAGCGAGCGCAGTGCCCTGCTGCTGGCCAGGTGCCCCAAGCTGGGTGAGCTGCTTTCCTCAGACAGAAAAAAACCCTCAAAAACCAAAAAGAGCATCTTGGGAGAGTGGCAAAGCAGAGCTGCTTGGCAGGGCAGCGGGGAAAGGAGCAGAGCTGGTGTACCCACCTGCTTGCAGAAGCGCAGGAACCCAATGGAGTAGGACATGCCCTGAAGACAGCACGTCCCGTAAAAGCAGCTGGACCTAGAAGCAGAAGCCAAGGAGATGCCACTGGGGCTGCTGGATGAGGAAAGCGGGTGGAGGGTTGAGGAACTTGTGGCAGGTTGGGACTTACGCAATGGGCTTCCCCCGGATCTCTGTCATGATGGTGCTCTCCCCTCCGAGGTACTCGAAGCACAGGCTCAGGAAGCTGTAAATCACGAAAGCTGGCAAGGCAAGGGCAGACACGATCAGCAGGGCTGATGGAGATCTGGGGTGGGGTTGTTACATTTCACATTCCTTCCTGCTCAGGTGTCTTCTCATCTACCCTGGCACAGCATCAGGATTTGGGACATTGGTGGTTGGGAGTCCAGCAAGAGGAGCAGCAGGTCAAATCCATCTGACCTCCAAGCGGAGTCAGATGCACCACACCATGTGCACAGGGTTCATTGCAGATGCAGCAGCTCCTCCGGGCACACACAGACCCTGCATGCACATGGCAGCCGTGGGACATCCCAGCAGTGCCCATAGAGCTGGCCCCCATGCACACCCAGACAAGCCCAGGTAGCAGTGCAATGGCCAGGGACCATCTCCATGGAAGACCTCAAAATTGCTAAGGGGCAGCACAAACAGCTAGAGGCCAGCAAGGAGCAGGTCCTGAACAGTTTTCTTGGACATCCCCATTGCTTATTTTCCATATGCTCCAAACCCAAAGTAATACACATGCCCATGCCCCTCTGTTCCCTAGGGGGAGAGCAACACGGTGGAAGAGCAACCTCAACCTCAACCCTGAGGAGCTTCCTCTGCACCTCAAAAAAATCCCAGCTCACCAGTTTCTTAGATACATCTACCTTACACTTTAGAAAAGCTGCATTTCTACCCCAAAGGCAGCCAGAAAACCTCTTTCCCCAGGAGCATGACATTGCGGTCCCTCTGAGCCCGCAGCCACGTGGTGGAAAGGCACCAGCTCATGTCTGCCCATGGAGAACAAAGGGACAAAATCTCTGCACTGGGGAAGGGAGAGGTGGAAGTGAAGGAGATGGAGGTTTGCCACTGTGTGCAATCCAGGACACTCCAGAGACACAGGACAGTGAGATGAGAGCCCTGCTTTGCCATCAGCCTCCCTGCCGAGGAGAGGCTGCGCTCACCTTCATAGCAGTCGCGCACCGAGTCGAAGTAGACGTAGTACTGGTGGCTGCCGAGGAGAAGGAGGCTGAGCCAGGAGTCGAAGGCATAGATGGGCACGATGAAGAGGATGCGGATGATGTAGCGCTGCTCCTTGGGGACGGTGTAATTCTTCAGGTGTGTGTAGATCTGCAAAGTGCCCAGTGTGCAGAGCTGTGGCTACCACCAGTCAGGAGGGGAACCAGAGGTGCCCCCAGACCCATCGCAAGGACCACCACAGACCCATTGCAGTGAACAGACACGTGAGACAGGCTCCATCCCAGTCCCCAGGGCAATCCCTTCCCAGAAAAGACGTGGAGATCTGGTCCATTCCTGGCATTGTGTAAGGGAGTGTGCCCTACTCTGTGCCAGTCCCCATGCAGCCCGGTCCCAGTGCTCAGAGACACCAGATTGCCCCAAGGCTGCCTTCAGCAGCACGGGTCCATGCAGCACCCAAAACCATGCCCACTGGCAGGACATTTCAAGGCAGCTCTCAGCGCACACCCCAAAGGCACAGACCCTGGGGTTCCAGATGAGAAACCCCTCTGGGTGTTGTCTCTGGGCCATGCCAATGCCCTGCAGCCTCTCCTGGCTCTGCCAGCCACCCAGGGAGAGTGTGGACAAAGTCCACCCTCCTGAGCTGCCAGCACCCGGCTCCCGACGGTGGAGATATCCCCTCCGGGCAACAGAAGGAAATATTTGTCCAGAGCTGAGTGATTTGCAAGGACCTTGGGGGCAATCAATAGATTTGTCCTTGCATCAGTCCCAGCACTGAGCCCCGTCTCTGCTCCAGCCCGTACCTGGTGGAAGGTGACGATGGACAAAGTCCACCCTCCTGAGCTGCCAGCACCCGGCTCCCGACGGTGGAGATATCCCCTCCGGGCAACAGAAGGAAATATTTGTCCAGAGCTGAGTGATTTGCAAGGACCTTGGGGGCAATCAATAGATTTGTCCTTGCATCAGTCCCAGCACTGAGCCCCGTCTCTGCTCCAGCCCGTACCTGGTGGAAGGTGACGATGAGTGCTGACCACACAAAGATGCCAGAGATGACCTGCGCCGCTGTCGTGGTCAGGAAAAGCTGCCGGTCATCCTCAGAGTTGTTGTGGGTGGCTGTGAGCAGGTTCAGGGCTGGAGATGGTGGAGCTGAGGCCAGCCTGGCCGCTGTGCCAGGCCCCGGGGTGCTGGGTGCCACAGGAGAGTACAAGGCACGTGTGGCATTACTCATCTGCAGAGAGGGAGAGGTCAGGGGAGTGGTGCAGGAAGGCAGGACCAAGGTAAGCAGATGAAGGGGAAGGTCCCAGCAGATTTCCCAGCCCACACTGTGTGGACAAACCTCCTGAGATGTTTATTTTCTCCCTAGGGTTTTTCCAGGGTGTCCCTCACCCAAACCAGCCTATTCACTATGGTTGGGTCTGCTTCTCCCAGTGGGAAAATGCAAACGCCCTTCAAGAGCAGACCCTCTTTTCTCTGGGGAGGTATTTGTGGTCCTCATGTCCCCCAAAACACATGCTTTTTCCCTGTCTTGCTCTTTCTTGTTTTCTCAAGGGTCCCCGTCCTGCTTGAAAGGGAAAGACCTGCCTACATTTGTGCCCCTGTGAATTCACACTTGTGGCTCAGGACCCTTTCCCATCAGGAACCAGAGACTTAAGGGTTAAACTCATCCCTCACCCATGATAATAATGAACACCTTAACCATGAGCCATCAGGACACCCAGGTCCTCCTTGGGAACCCAGAAAACACTGGGATCCCTGTGGAGCTCCCTCAAAATTTGGCTCCTTTCCTCTTGTGTGACCTGCTGGGGGCAAACCCTGGGGCTGCCCAAGAAGTCAGAGGTTTGGCATTACCCAGGGCCAGCCTCAGTCATTTTGGGATCATGGGGGTCTCGGTGTGCCAGCAACATCAATCCTGAGACCTGAAGGGCAGACAGTGGTCCCTCCCACACCTGACTTAAGAACAAGGCAGAGCTGCTGCCCTTTGGGGATGCTGAAGTGCTCCGGGATCTCCCCAACAAGTCTGTCCTCCTTGAAGCTGGTCATCTCAAGGTGCCGAGCATTCCCAGTGCAGAGAGTGGCCAAGATGGATGGGCACCATGTACCCTGTGGCTCCAGACAGCAAGGACCAACCTAATAATACGCTCTTATTTATAGGGCAGCTTCATATCTCAAGGCCAACAGATGCATCAACTGCCATGTTTGGCTTCTCTTTCTGCTAATCTATGGAAAGCTGTTTTTTCCCCAAGTATAACAATAGTGATTTAAAAAAGAACACCAAACAAACCACCACCTGTGAGCAGAGCTCTAACAATATAGATACTTCTTGGTGCATTGTTAATAAACAAAGCTTTTAGCTGCTGGGTGACTATCGCCTGGGGGTAAAACTGTAAGCATGATCTGGTGAGAGGCAAGAAAATATCTGCCACAGATAAGAGCGGTAGGGAACGACCTCGATCCAATTAAACAAGAAAACAAAACAAAGCAAGAGCTCACCCAGTGGCTTCCCCTCCTGCCCAAACCCCAACCTCACAGGAGAGGAAACTCAGTTGGTGTCAGATCAACAGCCCTAAAAATACCTTTCCCTCCCCCTTGCCTGGCAGGAGCTGCCTGTAAGCGGAGATGCCCGGGGCGGCAGCGTGCTGGCGGGGTCCCAGGAGCTCACCTCGTGTACCTGCGCCTGTGAGCGGGGAAGCGGAGCTGGAGATGGCTGGTGGGAAAGCTGGGATGATGATAGTGTTGGGGAGGCAGTGGGGAGATGGGTTTTTCCTCCCTGCGACCATCCTATGGCCCTGCCCTGGGCAGCAGGAAGCAAGATCCCAGGGAGAGATCTGGTCTTTGGACAGACCACAGCGACACCGGATCTGTCTTGTAAACATTAACAGGAGCACAGAGATAGCTCGCAGTGTGGGGAGGGAGGTGAGAGCCCAGCTGTGCCTCATTCCTAATCACTCCTCGCTCTTTTTAGGGGCTGCCCTGCTGCTGGCTGGACCTGTACGGCCGGATTTGGCCATGCTTTCCCTCTGCCAGAGCATCACGATAGGGAAGGACGCAATGCAGCTCGCTCCCAGGATGTGGTGGAGATCTGTGCTCATCGCTAGACCCATTTATTCTGTTTCTGACCCAGTGCCGTGCCACTTGGGCTTGGCCCAAGACATCCTAACTCCTATTAGCTTTCCCAGCCATGGCAGTATGAGCCCAGTGGCACCAGCAGCAGGTCCTGGCAGGCTCCCCTACATTGTCACACTCTGAACACGGCAGAGCAAGTCATTAAAAACAAAAGCCTCGGTGCCACTCAGAGACAGGACTCCCAGCTCCAGAGGTAATTAGATCCTGGCTGTGCAAGGTAGTTCGGCAATTCAGTGCAGCTAGAGGGCCATTGCTTCCAAAACAAAGGCAGTGAAGAGACGCAAAGAACAATATTAGCTGCAAAACTCAGCTTCTTGACAGGACTGTGCCAGTGCCACGTCCAGTCTGGCTGTTTTCAGACACCTTGCAGGTATCTGCCACACACAGTCTACCTATTCCACTCCCTGGATATTGGAGATGCTAACTGATCGCTGAGCAGAAAAGAAACCGAGCAGTGACACCTGTGTTCAGGCAGGTCACCAGTAACGGGGCTTTTCACTTTGCCAGGGATTCCCTCCACCCGCAGGCTGTCACAGCCTGGATTCCCAGCTCACATCCTTCCCAGTGTGCTGAGGCTCCTGGGATAAATCCCCACCTCGGTGGCAGCCCCAGTGGGGCTGGGGGAGTCAGAAAGGACAGGCGAGCCCCCACAGCCCCCCACCAGTGCCTTTGTAGTGCTGGCTGTGAACCCAGCATCGTGCACCCCTTTACCGGGGAAGAGATGCCTGATTCTTACCCCGGGGAGGGGAGCAGCCAGGCTCAGCCCCACCAGCACAGGAGACATGCTTTTCCTCCTGATTGCTTTCGGATAAAGCCAGGGCATGGCAGTTATTTACCTGACCAGCCTCTCTGTACCACTCCCAGCTCTCCCAGGAGGAAGCACCTATAGCACACGGCTATAAATTACAGCAGGGCAGCACTGAGCCCTCCTTAAAGCTCATCCAGAGGAGTGGGTGACACATGCACAGGGCTCCCGCAGCAGGCTCTGCCCTCCCAGCAGCTCCCATGAGTGCTCAGGGCTGATGGTTGGGGTAACCTCAGCTCCATGGGCTGCTACACACCCCCCCAGGGCCCCACTCACCCTGCAGGACTCCTCCAGGAGTGGGTCTGGCTGCTGGGCACCTGCCTCCGCATCCCCTGCGCCCTCCTCCACCTGCACCCGTGGGAGACTCCTCCTCCGGGCACCCTCCCAGCCCTGCCCGCCGGCTGGCAGCAGGCCCTGCCAGCACCCCGCTCGCCCTCGCTGTGCCCTGCTCCCCTCGTCAGGAGCTGGAGCAGCAGGTTGGGCTTCACCTCCTGTGGAAAAGCTGCTGAACTTACCTTTCCAGTCCGCCATGCTCAGCACCCACGCCCCGGAAAGCAAACACGGATGGAAATCCACGGCACAGCCCAACGCCACTGTGGGTGAGAGCTCTGCCTGGGTGGCACAGGCGGGGTTTGGAATTATCCTTACCTGCAGGATAGCGACGACTCAAAGGCAGGCAGCTGGTGGCACCAGCAGACTTGTGCCCTAGTTTTTGGGGCAGGCCTTCCTCCTGGTTTACTGCAGAGCACAGAGGAGCAAAGTCGAAGGACCAATTGCTCGTGGTCTAATTTATCACCCGTGGAAAGGCAACAAGATAAGTCTGTCCTGGCTCCAAGCATCAAATGGGAGAGATCTCCAGGTTTTTTCTCTACCTGTCACCCTGTGCAGACCTGGTAGCACACAGAACCAGGAAATTAAGGTGGTTAACTCAATGGTTGGCTTTTAGGTAGTAACACTAAAGGTCTTCAGGGCATAGGACTGGTATGCCACTGTATCACCACGGTAGAAGATGGGATTTACATTCAATTTGCTAATTAATATATGGTTTCCACAAGTTGATGGAGCTGCAGACACCATAAGAGCATCAGGATTTGGGAAGTGTATTGAATTTTGTGTCGGGAATGAATCCCTGCTAACAAACCAGGATCGACATTAACAAATTCCACATGCCTCCCTCAGCCCTCCTAGACCAAAAAAAAAGAAAAAAAAAAGTGTAAAGAGGGAAAATTTGGAGTTCTGACAGATGCAAATCTTTGATTCTTGGAAGCACAGTTCGGAAAATTATTTTTAGATGAAATTTCTTGTCAAGGGCAGCTGTAAGCCTGCAGTGTTTGGATGTACTTTTAAAAGTTTCATTTCTCATAATCCCTTAAATACTGTAAATAACTCTTACTTCAGAGAAAAAGTCCTTTCGAAATGCATTTTTTGCTTTTAGGGGATTTTCTTAGCAACAGGAATGAGCCAGCAACTAGGTCTATGTGGGGTAGGCATGGGGTCTTGTGCTGATACTGCTGGTATCAATGGGTCTTAACACAGCACAAGCCTTCCCTGCCCAGAATCCAAGACCTGGCCTCTGTCCGCTCAGTCAAGTTCATAAGTGACAAAAGTGTGTAACAGCTCATTTAAAAATTTACTACTTGGTGTTATTTGTTACAAGAAGAGCTAAAAACAAATGTGCTTTCCAAGCAAATGGCAAAAGTTTGGCTATTCAGCATTGAATCAAGTCACGTAACTTCACCCAACACTTTTTTTTCTTAAAAAACACTCAGAAGAAATATCCTTGTGCAACCCCCCCAAACCATTCTGTCCCCACATCTCCTAGGACAGGCGCTTTAGGAGAGGGACAGCTTGTTGCAGGTGGTCCAAGCTACGTATGTGCTATGGTACCATAAGCAGCAGTTATTTTGTCTTCTCCTCACCCCTAATTTGGGTTCCTGTCTTCCACCCTGATGCCAGCTTTCATGAAAATTGCAGAGCGTAATCATCTGCCTCTCTTTAAAATCGGAGTGAAAGTGGAAAATGGATTCAGACTACAGGAGGAAAGGGACTGACATAAGGACAAAAGCAGTCATATATATAGGACTCATTTCCTTAAAAACAGGCAAAAAAAATCTTTCCTATTATGCAATTGCTTTTGATTTGTTACCGAGGCTCGTATTTCAGTTGAAGTGATTTTCATAGAGCAAAAAAGAAAACAGGTAAAATTAGATTTGTCAATGTTTCTTTTATTCACTCTGCACTGGGTGTTCCCCCTTTGCGGTACAGCGTAGCTAGACCTTGGCATCTATCACTCCTCAGGACACAAATGCAGAGCCAGGCCGCTTCCCAAATACACATCCCACCCAATGTGATAAAAATAATACTTCTCCTGTATGTTGAGACAATTGTTCTTGTCTCATCACTGACTATATGGACTGCAAACCTGTCACAGTAACAAAACCCACAAATGTTCTACACAGTAGAGAAAAATTCATGACATTCCTCAGTACGTCCAAAACCAACACAAAGACATTCCATCATTTTCATTTCTTGTTCTTTTAAATAAGTGGTGATGAGTCATGGACTCAGGATCATTTCCTTGAATCCAGATGGCACAACTTCACCACACTTGGCAACTTCGGATCACTTCCCGTAGAGCTTGTATTCCTTCCATGGTCTTGTCCTTCAAAGCCATGGCGAGAAGAACAGGTTTGTTCCCAGCTTCCTGAGACACGAATGCCACCAGGTTTTTGGCACAAACGTGGACGAGGGGCTGAAAAGCAAAGGTTGACAGATGTACACTTACAGTTGGGAGAGCCCTCCCACACGAGTTAGGAGAGGAAGAGTCCTGCCATGACACGGAGCACGTTGAGAACCTGTCAATACTGGACTCGAACTGAGTGTGCAGTTTGCTGAGCGGTTCCAACATGATTGGGAACAGACACACACTTGGCTGCTCAGCAAAGCCAAGCCACGGTACGGGGAACTTTAGAAAGTACTTTCTCAACCAGCTTAAAAGGGAAGAGTTTGGACCCGTGAGTGACAGCCATCCAAACCATCCTGAAACAACTTAACTGGAGTTGCACTTGAATCGAGCTTTGTACCCATTTGGGAAACTTGGGAAGCCACTACAGAGAATCTTTCCTTCTGCGAATCCTCCCACCCAAAATACGTCACCAAATATCAAATTATATGAAATGCCACTGATCAAAATGCCTCAATTTCCATCATAGCCAGATTTCTGAAGAAGTCTTGAAATACGATTTTCTTTTAAAAACATGTTGCAGAAGAGGGTGTGTTCCACTGACAAAGTCTGGAAAAAAATGTTATTTTTGCAATTCCTAGAGACCCCAAAATGGTGTTGTATACAGAGTCTTCACATGCCATGTGTAGAAAACATGTTGTGTTTGATTTTAATAGAATAATGAAAACCAGAACTAAGTAGTGAGGCTGAAAGAGAGAAGAAAAGGGATATAATCTTCTTAGTGAGGTTTCTTTAACGAGAACATCCAGTTTGGTTTTATTTACACCCACAGTTATGTATTTATCAGAAGGATGAGTTTGCTTGATTTTAGCTATGAGTGTGGTTTGGAATTGTGCACCATCACAAACACGGATGTTAATTGTGACAAGCAGGAAGACAGCGAACTAGTGAAAGCCTTTTCTGAAAGTTTAAATTGATTAAATTGGTAAAATAATTTAAAAATACTATGTAACATATTAAAAAAAGGCACTTCCCATTTCCATATAAAACACAAAACCACTTTGGGGGTGGAGGTGGCCAGAATTAGCAGATATCACACCAGGGAAAGCAAAGCATCTCCCAGCCAGAGAAGGAAGGCTATTGCTGACGAACAAGAACTCCATAAGGGGAAGCTGAAGACAGAATCAGGAACTTGTGTTGCTGGAGTTTTCCTAGTTAAGGTTAGCAAGTAATATTTGATAGCTCCAACCCTGATGGAAAGCCTCATAATCTTGTAGCTCTGTAACTTTCTGTTTTAGTGCTTGACCAGTAGACGCTTTGCAAAA